CAGGAGGAAGAACATGCAGAGAGGCATAGAGGTAGGAGAAGAAGGACAAAAGGCAAACGGCAATGATAGAACAGAAGGTAAGAAATCTGAACAGATCAAGTGCAGCTTAAGAAACTGGACTCTAGGTTGAAAATTTAGACTTGAATCAACAGGCAATAGAGGGTCATAATTTGGAGATTTGAATGATCTTTTAATGAAATAAATGGACTGTGCAGAAAACCTACATTTATGAATGACTATAATAGGACTACATGAAAAGGAAAAAAGGAAAGAGAGTTGTAAGGGGAAAGAATAAGTGTAATTTGTTAGAGTCCTTATTTTGAAAGGTATATTATGATATTATATACTCAATGTATAAAGGTTTTTATTTTATATTTACATTGGACCTATTTTCCCTGAAGCTACTTGACTTTTTAATTTTTGCTTCTTGAACCCTCTACCAATTCTGTAACTTCCCATTCAAGTAATGACTTACTTGTTTAGATCACTGTATATCCACATTTTTTATTATTTTTTTAATTTATATATGACAATGGAATGCATTAAAATTCTTATTAAATATATAGAGTATAGTTTTTTCATATCTCTAGTTGTATACAAAGTATATTCACACCAATTTTTGTCTTCAAACATGAACTTTGGATAATAAGGTCCATCACATTCCACCATCATTTCTAACCCCATCCCCCGTCCCTTCCCCTCCCACCCCTCTGCCTTATCTAGAGTTCATCTATTTCTCCCATGTTCCCCCTCTCTACCCCATTATGAATCAGTCTCCTTATATCAAAGATAACATTCGACATTTAGATTTTTAGGATTGGCTAACTTCACTTAGCATTATCTTCTCTAACTCTATCCATTTACCTGCAAATGCCATGATTTTATTCTCTTTTATTGCTTATATTCCATTGTGTATATATGTCACTTTTTTTTAATCCATTGATCTATTGAAGGGCATCTAGTTTGGTTCCACAGTTTAGCTAATTTGAATTGTGCTGCTATAAACATTAATGTGATTGTGTCCCTGGAGTATGTTATTTTTAAGTCCTTTGGGTATAGACCAAGGAGTGGGATAGCTGGGTCAAATGGTGGTTCCATTCCCAATTTTCCAAGAAATCTCCATACTGCTTTCCATATTGGCTGCACCAATTTGCAGCCCCACCAGCAGGGTATGAGTGTGTCTTTTTCCCCACATCCTCACCAACAATTATTGTTGTTTGTCTTCATAATAGCTGCCATTCTGACTGAAGTGAGATGATAGAGTAGTTTTGATTTGCATTTCTCTAATTGCTAGCGATGATGAACATTTTTTCATATATCTGTTGATTGATTGTATATCCTCTTCTGAGAAGTGTCTGCTCAGGTCCTTGGCCCATTTATTGATTGGGTTATTTGTTTTTTTGGTGCTTAGTTTTATGAAGTCTTTATATGCTCTAGAGATTAGTGCTCTGTCTGATGTATGAGGGGTAAAGATTTCCTCCCAAGATGTAGGCTCTTTATGGTTGTTTTTTAAGAGAGACAGAGAGAGAGAGAGAGAGAATTTCATATATATATATATATATATATATATATATATATATATATATTTAGTTTTTCGGCAGACACAACATCTTTGTATGTGGTGCTAAGGATTGAACCAGGGCCACACGCATGCCAGGCGAGCACACTACTGCTTGAGCCACATCCCCAGCCCTGGCTCTTTATGTTTTTAAGAATTTATGACAGATCTCCTTGGTAAGGTTACAGAAATAACAGGCAGATCCATCGTTTTCTTCTCTAATATGCTATTCAGCTAATTGAAAAGTACTCACTGAAAGCAGAAGTAACATTTTGAAATTAATTGATTGTTGTTTAAAATTTGATTATAAACTAAAGTGATTTGTGATTTTAAGGATTTTCATAGCTAATTATACTTTTCTTTGAGGTGCTGGTGATTGTACTAGGGCATTACACATGCTAGGCAAGCAGTCTAGCGCTGAGCTATACTCTTAGCTCTACTACATAATTATAAATCCTATTTGAGGATTAAAAATTTCTCTCAACTTTAAGGTAAATATTATTTAAAGATTATTTGTAAATATATAAATTTTTTGAATATGTATACATATGTATGTACACACACATACATATACTTAAGAATTATGTGTACATGCATGCTACTTCAATGAAACATTATGTCTATGAGAGCAGAATTAATTAATTCACGAGCAGGGAAATACCTAGTCTTTCATTCTTGTCTTCTCAGCTATCCATTCCCTTGAAGAAGCAAATATCATTCAGACACACACAAAAAAGATGTACTATTAAAATAAAATTCAGAAGTGATAAAAACGTGCAACAGCCAGCTCAGAGCACCTCCTTTTTACACTTAGGGATATTGCGGCCACATTAATTTTTGTGTGTGTGATGTACACCCCACGTGCAATTTTTTAATTTATATATAACAGTGGAATGCATTACAATTCTTATTTACACATATAGAGCATAATTTTTCATATCTCTAGTTGTATACAAAGTATATTCACACCAATTTGTGTCTTTATACATGAACTTTGGATAATAATGTCCATCACATTCCACCATCATTTCTAACCCCAGAGTTGTTTTCCCAAGAGCAAATATAATCCATGCTTCTGCAACTTTGTACAATTCAAAACTCTGTATTACATTTATTTGTCTTATTTTAAATATTGTTAAAATATTTCTTATTAAAAATATTAAGTAGAGGTGTTAAATGTCAGAAAGAAATGTGAAGAGAGATATAAAAAAGGATGAAATAATACTCCTTTCCTAAGTGTATTACTTTCAAGGACATCATGAGCGTAGTGGAAAAAAAATTATGAATTGTCTTAAGTAAATGAGATGAAATGTATGAAAATTTTGGTATATGATAAGGGTTCAATAAAGGTTTATTGAACCTCACTTAACTTCAATTTTTCAAAGTCTAAATTTAAAATATTTTCTTCAGAACATTTTCTATATATTTTATTTTATTTTCCAGAGCTTGTTCTCTCTCTTTTAAAAAATATTTATTTTTTAGTTGTAGTTGGACACAATACCTTTGTTTATTTATTTATTTTTATGTGGTGCTGAGCATCGAATCCAGGGTCTAGCATGTGCTAGGCGAGTACTCTACCACTGACCCACAACCCCAGGCCTCTTTTTTTTTTTTAATGAATGTTCCTTTTATTTAAAAATTTTAACTTATTTCATTGGTATTAAGTCTCCTTCATTTACTCTTGTTTCTTCATGTTTAGATTTTTTTCTTCCTTTCTTGTTGATTTTCCAAGTTACTAATTCATTCTTAAATTTATATTAAAAGGAGACTGTAAAAATTAAGCCAAGAAATGTAAGAGAGTGGCTTTTTGACTCAGAGATTTTATTGCCCTGTGATATGACCTTTCAATTAAGACATCCTTGTAGGCTAAGACTTAAACTGATGTGTCTGGGAGTTCTCTGTATCTTCTGATACAGTCTTCAGAAGCACATAAGTGCAACTGCCAGTTCATGCAAGAGATGAGCAAGGGAGGGTTTAGTAGGTAGATTGTGGATTAAAATTGTGTAATTCCATCTGTGCTTTGCTTTGGCTTTCCATAGTATCTGCTTTGCCTCAGACCAGAACTCTTTTTCATAAACTCACGTGAGAACTGACTCTTCTTATTGATACATGGACAGAGACAAGGATGGGGGAAGGGTGGGGTGGGGATATTCTGTATATATCTCTTCCTCACTCTCACTTTCTGCAGTAACTTAGCTTCAGTTCTCAAGCTTTTCTGGGGATCGGTAGGACACATTGCCTTATTTCTCTGGGACATCTCCCTCTTCTGGGACTTAACTTTCAGTGTTAACTTTTCTCTATCAATTAGGAATTTGCTATCTTCTTGTCACCTGCCAAAACTTTATGTTATTTTCACCTACTGTTTCTCATCTTCTGCCCTCTTCCTTATAAGATTTTGAAAATCCTTTTATGTCAGTGAATTCTGGGAGGGATTTGCACAATTGACCAGATTACACAAAAAAATATATCACAATCGTAGATGTTCTGTGAGTGTTTGTAGGGTTTTTAAAGCTTGTTTTTTTTCTTGTATTTTGATTATACTAATATCTAAAAGTAATAATAATGATGATAATAAAAATAACAATTGATACACATGTTACATCTATTTTTTACTTCTACTTTTAGCATCACCATTATTTCTTGGACTCTTGTTCTTTTCAGCCTCCACGTTTAATGTTATATATATATTAAGTTGTTCATCCCTCATAACAACACTATATGGAAGTAAAGATTCCATAAAGGTCAAGAAACAATAAGGGTACACAGGTAGCAAAGGCAGAAGTAATATATGAGTATGTCTGGCTGACTCAAAAGCCCCATTATTCATCATCTTTACCAAAAAATATCCCCATTTTGGTGGTAATTTTTTTAAGAGAGAGAATTTTTAATATTTTTTTTTAGTTTTCGGTGGACACAACATCTTTATTTTATTTTTATGTGGTCTTGAAGATGGAACCCAGCGCCCCACACATGCCAGGCAAGCACGCCACCACTTGAGCCACATCCCCAGCCCGTGATTTAAGTTTTTAAGAAAACATTTCAATGAGAATTGCCTGTATTGGGTCATTGGTTAGCTCTTTCTTTCTTTTTTTCTTTCTTTCTTTCTTTCTCTCTCTCTTTCTTTCTTTTTTTTTTTGAAGGGGAGCTTACCATTTTAATATTAAGAGTGTTTTTACTTATGTGATAAATTTTGAGTAATTTGGCATCACTGTTGATAAATTCATTACATAACATTGTCTATATTGAAACTCACAAAATTCCATGAGGAAAGTTTTACTTTGTTGAAGTCAATGACACTAATAGTCAAAGATAGAGGTTTGAAATGGAATCCAGGTATTCTGATCTCAAAGCATGAATTATTTTTATTATACTGCTTCTCCTAATATTTTAAATCAAATATCTATAGAAATAAATTTAAGAATATTCCTCAATATTTTTTCAGGTTTTTTCCATTTTCTTCTTACCATAAAAAAGAAAAATACACTGCATCGATGCATTCATCAAGCAAATATGGCTCTGATTCTTATGGATTAAAACAATTCCGAAGTGAAAATCCTAGAAAATGGATCTGTGACAAGGTGAGTCAATAAAACATTAAAAAATAGTGTACCTTTTAAAAGAGTAAAAATTCACATTACCCAGAGAAAGTATAAATATTTTCATTATAATTAAGACCTTCATGTTTACAAAATTATTTATAGCTGTGTTTTATAAAGATGGTACAGCTGACTTAAGTCACAAGATATTTAAATTATTTTTCACTATTGTGTTCTTTATGTTTTATGATCATATGCCCTATGTCAGTGACATAGAATGCTGGCTTTGACATATGATCAGGATCAGGGCTTGAATGTGAAGTCACAGAAAGGAGTTAAATCTAGGGCATAGAGCTTGCTCTCAGTCTCTGTGTATATGTATATGGATAGAAGAGAGAGAGTTGTGTGATATACATATATAATGTATTACATACATTTAACATACATATATGTCTGTGTGCAAACACATTATATGTACCTGTATGATTGGTATTTTTGTAGCCAGGCTGCAATAAAGAAGTACCATTGGCTGTTTGACTTAACAACAGACATTTATTTTCTTACAAACCTAGAGGCTGGAAGTCTGAGATCAGAGTACCAATATAGTCAATTTCTGGTGAGGCTTTTTTTCCTGGATTATAGGCAGCTGTCATATTCCTGTGTAGCCACATTCCTCTTCTTTATAGTCGAAGAGAAAGCAGTCTCTATATGTCTCCTTATAGGTGTTTAAATCTCATCAGATCGTGATCCTACCTTCATGACTTAATCACCTCCTGAAAGGCACTATTGCCAATATAATTACATTAGGGGTTAGGGCTTCAAAACATAAATTTCAAGGAGACACAATTCAGTACATAGCATTCCATATTTGCCCCTACTCCCAGAAAAAACTGATGTCCTCTTGCATGCCAAGTAATACTTTCCATCCTAATAGTTCTAAGAGGTTTAAAACATGCCAGTGCCCTCTGTCTCATTTAAATATGATCTAAGTCATAGGAACATGAAAAGGATGCCCATTATGACTACTACTATTCAATATGGTACTATTTTAACTATTTAATTTCATATTTTGAATGTGAATAAAATGATCTATATCTCATTTTCTATTTGAAATAAACATTTTTTGCTTTTATGTCTCCTCACCATTCTATTTAATTTAAGGAAGTAGGCCTTCTCTTAAAATATAAATGACTTATCTTAGAACATTAAAGTAAGAAATATTCTTGTGCAAAGGGTTTGTTTCCTTAAATAACAGTACTTCCTTTTGTTTTTCTGCAATAGATTCACTTTATACCTTGTTATGTATTCCAAGAATATATTGCACAGAAGAAGTAAATTAATGAATATAAAGAAACTTTTAGACACTCATTAAAAGGTCAAATAATTAATTTTGTTATTTTGGAGGAATCTGGGTATTTCTGTATACCAAAAATTAACCCTAAATAATTGTTCTTGTATTCCTTGAAAATTTAAGAAAGAAAAGTGCATGGATTCTTAAATATTAATAAAACATTGGCCCAAACTCTACACAAAACTGTATAGAAAATAGCAAATTTGAGTCTACTTCCTGCCTCCTTTCTTACCTTCCTTTGTCCTTCCTTCTTTCTTCCATCCTTTTCTTATTACTTCCCACCTTTCATCTTATCTCTTCAAATAACCATATTAAATAAACAAATTAGCCCTTTGTGGGGCTAAAGTTAGCCTCCACATAATATAGAAATAGTCCATTTGTTGGTTATATGTAAAATCTTAGAATTTTAAAAAATATTTTATTTTAATTTGCTCTTAGGTGACTTGAGACTTCCAGCCAATAGGTTGCCAAAGTAGGCTTATTTTTACTTGCTTTTTTAAAACTTTTTTTGATTTTGAAAATTAGATGGCAAAACTTATTATTAGTGGATAAAAGATAGTCTTAGAAGAACTAGAGCTATTAGTTTCGAAATGTTGAAGAAAGAAAGGCCTGACATTGAATTATATAGAGTATTCATGCACATTTAAATGTACATAGATTTAGTTGAATTCAGTAGAATTGATTTCATCTAAGAAATAGCTCAAGTAAGTATAGTTGGTTACTATTCTCCGACCTATCCATTAAGTTTTAAGATTGCCTATATGAATAAATACGTTGTCTTTTATCATCCTTAAACATGGAAGTTATAGTTTCCAAATTATTTGCTAACTAATTGTGTTGAAGGGTATCAGTTGCCAGAAAATAAAATATTTAATGTTCTTTTTTCTAACCACATTCACATTATATCAACTAATATATAGTACCATTTATTTTTGTTTTATTTTTAATGCTATTGATCTGAAGAGCACTGTACAAAGAAATCACTAAGTCAGCCTATTGAGAGGAGATAATAATAATTTCTCTCTGAATGTATGAAAATCAATAATGAAAGATAGCATATACATAATTTTTCTAAAAAGTGGAAATAAGTAATAAAATAATATATAAAATATAATTTACTTGTATTTCTCTGGTCTACTTATAAACTGTCCCGAATTAAATTTAGATTGTGTTTTTAAATGTTCAAACTTTGAAGTTTGGGTAAATACTTTGTATTTGTAAATTCGGCATTTAAAATAGATGTGAAATTAAATAAGGAGAGCCTATCAGTTAGTCACTATTAATTTAATCTAAAGGAGTTGTACAGTAAAATTCAGTGTACTAAAAACATTCTTTTGGTTGTCAAAACATTCACATATGTTCATATTTACTGAAGCAGAAATGATAGTCTTAGGCCTTTATCTGAATTGGAATGAGTTTCCATATGCATTTTCAACGTCTGATTTTAATGGAACCATTTCATATTTTTCCTTGTTTGCAAAATTCAGGAAGAGACTATTTTAAGATGGTTCATGTTGATAGTGCCTTTCCTCATATGTCTATTATAGGTGAATTACAACAGTGGAGCAGGCCTTTTCCCTTATTTTCACATGCATTTTTGGTCCTAAACAGGATTTTATAAGCTACAAAGCATAAAAATATCCAGTACTCCAAAGAATTAATTTAGAGAACCTAAGCATATTGCACAGAACATAAAGTTGACCTTTACTGTCTACAGCTTTTGGAATGGAGTGGGATGTGGAACACATCATAGATTTAATGTGGCACATCGTTGTCTGCAGAAACTTGGGTGGGACTGTGACTGCTTGCCCATTGCATCCAGTGATTGAATCTGCTGTCACCAGCATCCTGATAATAATGAACATTCAGCTTAACGACCGTGATTATGATTATCATAATTGATGTGCAAGTGCAGTGTGTGGGGATCATTACAGCTGAACTGTACAGCAGAGAAACATGCCTCAGTTATGGATAATTTTACTTTTATGCATTGATTGGGATAAAATATGCCTTTCTATTTAAACAGACCAGCTTCATATAATTTTAAGAATCTTTCTGTATGTGCTGATTGATGATTATGCACTTGCTGAAAAACAACCCCTTACATTTGTTTGTTTTGTGTTGTTTCATTTCATTAGTAAATGTAAACAATTAAATAATTAGGTGTAATTGAGGGAAAATAGTTTGCTTATGAGGATGGCCTTCTATAATCAAATATTCAGTTAAGTGTTTCTCTTTCTCCCTCTCTTTCTTACTCTTCCTCTCAATCAGAAAAATAAAAACTGAAATTATTATTTTATTTCACTAACTACCCTTGTTTAGTCTTTCTAAGGTTGGTAGGCTTCTGGAAAATATAAATTTATATAAATTTTCATTATAAAGCTAGAGATATTTGTACATGCATGTATATGTATATACACTCTATTATGCACTTAAAAAACTATGGCAGAACAAAATATTGTATCATGTTATTTGTGAAAATAATATTTAACCTATAGACAGTTTAAAGATGTAAGGTAAAGATATATAAATTTATGCAATCTTTTATTAAATTCTTTTTAATCACTGTTTTGCTTCTGATCAATTTATTACATTATTCAGTCATTTTCAATTACAGTTTTAGTAATGACTTCAACAGAGTTTCTGGTTTGAATGTTGTGAATAAAAATAATATGTGCAGTGATGTATTCAAGATTTTCAAAAAAATTAGAGCTGACCACATTAATCTATGATCATTAACCAAAGGGCTCACTTTGCATTTTACTCTATTTTATTTGAGTAATAAACAAACATAATGGTTAAAAAAAATAATAAAGAAGTGTGGTGAGCCATTTTTGGAAAATTTATGACTACAGTAATGTCTAAAATTGAGAGATTCTCAAACAGATTATTAATAACTATACAGCTCTAAAGAGATTCTGCTAAATGTTTCCTTCTGAGGTCTGTAAAATTTACATCACCCCAGGTAAAATGCTTGCCCTAGATGTGCAGCTGTACACTGTGGTGGAGGACAAAATCTTTGTTTGACAGTGAGAGGTTTTATAGCTTACCTATAAAATTTTCCATCTGAGATTTTTAGACGAAAGTGATTTGTAAAGTTTATTAAAAAGTGCCACTTTTCTCTACATCATTGGTTTTCTAGAATAACAAGAATTAAATTCTTCATCTGATGAGGATCACAGAATATGTTATCTCTGCACTTCTCTGCAATTAAACTCTTGACCTTAATGTTTTTGAATGTAAAGGCCTCAATTTGATTTTTTGTGTTGTTAAAAACTAGGTCCAGCCCCTAGTGGGGATTTTGGCCTCTATACCTTAGTACTTTCATCCTCATGTATAGGATCATTGCTTTAATTTCTTTCTGTGCTATCCTTGTCTTGATTTGGCTTGGCAAAAGAGCAGGCTAACCAGATTCACAGGGCCCTAAATGACTAAAAATATAACTAAGAATTGACTTTTTGCTGTAGAGAGAGACTGGCTTTGCTTTTAAGAATCCTGGAAGTACTTGATACATTTTATGAATATAAGAGTTAGCATTAATCATGCTTAGTTGACTATTACTCTGGTTAAATCTGGAGGTTCCATGTGGAAAGTAAAAGGAAAATTTGTATGTACTCACAGTCAGGCCCCTAATAAACTATTTAGCATCAATATTTGGGAGCTGCTACTGAGGGGAACATTCTGACACATGTTTTTGCTTCAATTAATTCCTGAAAGAAAGTTTCTGAGTCAGAAGATGTGGTGGTTAGTTTTGTGTATCAGTTTTACTAGGCTATCATATCATTATTTAATCAAATACTGACCTATGAATTCTGTGCAGGTATTTTACAGACAAGGTTAAAATCCACAGTACATTGACTTTAAGTAGGTTCCCTTCCATAATGTGGGTGGGCTTCATCTAATCAGTAGAAGGCCTCGAGGGAGAAACTTAGGTTTCCCACAGAAGAAATTCTGCCTCTAGACTGCAACATCAACCCCTCCCTGTATTTCAGCCTGTGAACCTGCCCTACAGATTTTAAATCTGCCAGTTTCCAGAACTGCATTTGCCGATTTCTTAAAATAAATTCTCTTTCAACCATGTGGCCCCGAAATTCCAGCATAATTTACATTATGTGATTGCAAAATCTACATTTTAAATGAGCCATATTACTTGAGTCTGTTATCTTTATTCTAGGTACAGTTTTCTACCCTGTCATTGGCCTGATCTAGCTCTTTGTCTATAGATTAAAGACCAAGAATCACACATGCATAGTCAGTAGACATAAACAATCATTCCTCTCCAACTTTTGAGGCTCTTTGTGTTATTGGACTTCAACTTCCATTTATCTCTCCATGCTGATTATCCCCTGAATTTCAGCATCTCTTGTGCAATCTCTGTGCCTTGCTCCCATCCAAGAAATGGAATAACAAGCAATTTAACTGAGTTTTATGTTAAAATTACATTTGATATGACTGGATTGCGGTAACATTTCATAAGTTTAGAAAATTTAGCAGGGAAACACTTAAAGAATATAAAACCACTTGTATTTATTCTTATAGTCCTATTGTAACTTTGATGCATATAATTTACCACACAGACATACATGCAGAAAGTGAGATTGTACTTGATATATTTTGGGGGAGCCTGTTTTCTCACTTGCCATTTTCAACCATAATAATTTGCTTGGACACCCTTGGCTATTTTTTCTTTAAAGACTAATAGTGGCTATGACTTATAGTTTATAATTTTCATTTAATTTTCCTGGGTACACAGTGGTACCTTTCAATATATAGATTTAGACTTTTCTATTACTTCTAAAATTTTTCTTAAGATTATAATTTTAAATATTCTTTTTTAATTACTTTACCATTTCAGGAACTCTAATTATATTGAAGATTGGATTTTCTTTGCCCATTTTCTGTGTTAAATACTTTCTCTTTGACCATTTTTATTTATTTATCTCTTTTTCCTTTCCTTTGTTGTTTTCCTTCTTTTCTTTAGTGACCATTATTAAATTTTCATTCACATCTATTTTTCTTGAGCCAAGTATAATTTAATATTCATATCTGATACAGTTTTGCCTTTGTCCTTGATTTCTTTCCTCGGTTCAAGTAAGTTTTCCTGTATACTGTTTTATTTTTTGATTCATTTAAGTTCTTAGTTTTCACATATATGGTTATAGGGGTTTTATATAAAAAAATTTCTAAATCCTTTCTAGAGAATATTTAATTCAATATGGAATGTTGAATTCATATCTTATTTATTTCTTACAGTGACTTCCATGAAGTTTTTACTTTTCTTGTTCTTTTACATTTTATGCAAAGAGATCCAAGGCCAAGTGCACACATTTCTGTAAATATAGTAAGTTTAGTATTTGAGTGAAATTATATTATAAAGAACAGAGAAGAGTTGATGTCTTGTGATTTTGTCTCTACAGGATCCTTATTTTTACACTCTTCCTTCCTTTCCCTGCTCCTGACTCTAGAGGGGTATCTTTCTTCCTTTCCTAGAGGTAATCTCCTCTCTTTTCTGTAACTGATGCCATGAGCAATCAAGTCCCAGGACTGTGTTCAGCATTTTGACATTTCAGCTTTGCACTTACTCTTTCTGGTGGTGATTCTGTTCATGCTTTGTCTGTGTCTTCTATGTCCCTTGGCTCTTTCTGTATATTTAGTAATCCTTCTTTCACCTTGCTTTCTACACACTCAAGTTTGCATCAGTGGGGATATATACTGTATTCACTCTGTTGGAATTCGATGTACAAGAAAAGTGTGTTCTCTCTCTCCTAGTTAATACTGAAGAAATTATTGCATATGGTTCTTCTTGTGCTGCACAATATTATTAAGTGGATGCACAATATTATTAAGTGCTTTTGGTGGGAGGTGCTTGATATTACTAGGTGATTTGAGTAGGGAAGACGGGTACAGGGGTGAGGTATAGAGAGATTTGGATTTAAGCAACTTACCCTTTTTAGAACCAGCTAAACCTCCTTGAAGGTCATATTTAGTGGCAGTTGTCTTTAAACATTCAACAAATGTTCATTGAGCACCTTCTTTGAATCAGGCACACCAGGCTGGGCATCAAGGATATAATCTTGAGTGAAAACAAACATGTCTTTTGTTCCCATTAAGTTCATAGACTGGTAGAAATACAAGAAATTAATCACTACTCTAAATGCTCCAAAGAAAAAGGTCATAGATCTATGAAACTATATAATAAAGATGCTCAGGTGTTCGGGGAATCTGAAGGAACTCTAGAGGAAATGGTGCATATGTTGATATGTGAAGAAATGGTAATCATGAGCTTTGTCTGTAGGGGGATGCATGCAGTACTTGATGAGTGAGTGGATGAAGCAGGTGAAAAGAAGGATCATTATGTATTAACAACTGTTATTGCAGAGAATATGAATGTCCAGTTCCCAAGCAACTTGAACTTTTCAGTTTCAAGGAACTGAAAAGAGGTTATCAGGGCTGAATTTCCTAGAGTTTAGAGCAGAGATGTTGGGTGATAAGGCTAGAGATTAGGTGAGAAACAGAACTTGTAAATAAACTCCAAACTATCCTAAAGAGTTGGTATTTATGAGACTTGAAATGTTTTAAGCAAGGATTGAGATGAAATTTGTGCTTTTAAAAGATCATTCAGTGTATAATGTGGATAATAAATTTTAGAGAGGCCAAAATGAGTGGGGGAAGAGACCAGTTTGGCAGCAGTTAGTCCAGGGAAGATTTAATGGTAATTTGTTCTAGAAGAGTGGCAGTGGATTTGGAGAGATATGAATTAATTCAGCAATATTCAGACACAGACCCCTATGATGTTAAAGCTTGAAAATGATTTGGATATGATTAAGAAAGAAGGAAGTCGGTGGCTCAGAAAACTGAGGCAGGAGGATTGCAAGTTCAAAGCCTGATTTAGGAACTTAGCGAGTCTTTAAAAAAGGCCTGGGATGCATCATCCAAAGTACATGTATGAAGACACAAATTGATGTCAACATACTTCATATACAATAAGATATATGAAAAATTGTGCTGTGTATGTGTAATAAGAATTGTGGTGCATTCTGCTGTCATTTATTTTTTTAAAGAAAATCAATAAAAACAAAAAATAAAAAAGGCTCAGTGTTTAATTATACCTGGGTTCAATCCCTGGTATAAAAAAAAAAAGAATAGAAAATGAAACAGATTAATTTGGGGGCAATTAATCATAGAAAAGAGAACATGACTTCAATCTTGGACATGTCTGTGTTTGAGATGACTTTGACTCATTTATTAGAGATGTCAAATAGATACTTGAATATAGAAGTCAATTGCCTGGAACTAGAGTCTTGAATAGAGGTATAACATTGAGTCTATTGGGTTTATAAAAAAAATAATCAAAATCACAAAAGTGGATGCAATTGCCTAGAGTGAAAATATAGAATGAAAGAGTGTTGGTCATAGTGGTGCATGACTATAATCCCAGCTA